TTATTTTAATTGCCAATTTATTTTTTAACACGAATGTTAGTTTTTAGGAAAGGTGGAATTGTTATTATTTACCTCATATTTTATGTTTTCTTAAAATATACTTCCATGAGAATTTGTTGATGGAATAGCTCACTATTTCATTAACAAATTCTCAGTAGCTACCTGGAGTCAGGAATTTGACTTAAAATACCGTACCATCGGACTATGAGAGTGAGGGAATAGAGAGTGCACCTGTGCTTGCGCATACACTTGGGCCTATGATCCTATCCTACGCCGATGACTAGTCTTCGTTGAGGCTGGCCGCCGTAACCGAAATTCGGTCTCGAGGACATTATTATTACCGTGCGTTTGCACTAAAACCTTCCAACTTGTAATGTTTCGAAACTTGTATAAAATACGAGTAAATCACATAATATATGTTGTTGATGTTTGCGTTTACACTCTACGAAACTGATGATTAGTTCAAAGTTTCAGTAATTGGTAAACTGCACGAGCATATCGTTAAAAACGTTAACAAACTATTTTCAAGTTTTGAACACTTCAAGAAACTGAGACCGAGAGAAACAGGGACTCTAGCTTATAAACCTTAAGCCTTAATGTTTAAAAAGGGCGTTGTTTATGATTACCTAACTTTACATATTTCTACCAAAGTCATAATATTCCTCTCCCGTTGGTGTTGTAAGAAGTGACACATCTTCCTGTAACAACTCAGAATAAAAATAAAATTGCGGTTGCCAACCCGCCTGCCAAGCATGACAACTTCTCCTTAATGTAAATCCTCCAAATCCTCCTTATGAGGTAATTCATGGGAGAGTCCTGATTTCAGCAGTAGACTTTAATAGGCTGTAATCGAAGTGGTTAGTGTGGCCTACACACTTACATCTGACTAAAATTAAAATGCATATAATAATAAAAATAATAAATTCTTTATTTACTTCACAAAGTATTTTAACATAAATACGTTGCTAGAGGCCTGTAACTTACAAACAAAATCTTAAGAAGTACTTTTAGATAACTAATATAAAAACGTGCATGCTTGTGTGGTGTGTGTGTATCACTTCTGAGGACTATGTTGGAACGCTTTGTTCCACTAAATGGTCACTAGTTCTCGTTACTTACAATATGAAACAGGGTAGTATTATGCTGCTTTTTCACGCTGGTGTGATGATGTTCTGTGTAGGCGTGGTCCTTTCCCGGTTAAGCTGTCTCATTCGTGCTGCAGTTATTATACGCTGCAGTGTGACTCTACCACGTTTTTTTTGTAATATAAGGTGCAAACGAACTTCCTTCTACCTGATGGTTAAGTGGTTAATACAGCCCATGGACACCTGCAATCAACTTCAAATGAAAAAATGCTTTATTATAGGATAGGGTGACAAACGAGCAAACGAGGATAGATGTAGATGTATATGGTGCTCGTTTTTTTTATAAAATACGGTGACGAAGGAGCACACAGTCCACCTAATGGTAAGTGGTTGCTGTGACCCATAGACATCTACATCTATCCTCAATAAAGAATCAAAATGGAATTGTCACCCGTGAGGACTGTTTCTTTTCCAGTAAAAAGGTTCTCCGGTTCATTCGTGCTACAACTATACTATTAATATAGCTGCAGCATGGCTCTACCACGTATAAAGCTACTGATCGTATACGGATATGGACGGTGGGCAGTAAAGGACCACCTAGTGCTACGTAAAACGCGCATCTTGAAAATCATGTACAAGTTTTCGTCAAGCTAGTCCCGGACAATCGGAACATATGCAAGCCTTTGCGAGAAGGCTTCTTACTTCCTTTCCAGAATAGCGCAGTGGCTAAGAGCGTTTAGTTGCGGTGCTGCACCGCGGGTTAGAATCCTGCATGGAACAAGAGTTGGTGTGACCTATGGATAACTGTTTCGGGTCTGGATGTTTGTTCAGGTGCAATTTATGTATAGTAATAATAATACTTTAAGATAAACATCCATAATATTATTTAAAAAATCCTATGACAAACTAAAATATGTTTTAGTATCCTTAAATACATTGATGTAACCTTATAATGAAATTTTGTAAATTAAAAAAAATTAGATAATGTACTCTGGTTACATGCTCCAAGAATGTATTATAAACGGCTCTATGATACATCAGAAGATAAGAAAAAGGAAAATCTTAAATTAAAACTTAATAAAAAACCAAATAAGTGCGAGTAGAGGTTTCAGTATTTTTACTTATTTACGATAGATCCATTTTTTCTTCATCCATTTCATCCTATCCATACCGGAAAACGAGTGTCGACGATGGATTGAAGTATAAAGTAAAAAATTCCATTGGCAAAAAAAACATCGGTCTACATCACGATTGATACTCCAACAACAAAAAAATAAGTTTGTTATGTCAAAAAAATATTTATAACTAATGTGAAGAACAGCAAACTATATATTCTAAAACTTATGCGTGTTTGCTTTATTTGTGCATTGGGACCTAGCTTTTTACCAAATATCACTGTGCTAGGTCAATGGGAAGTACCCTCAAGGTTTTGATAGGTGAGTTTACAAGTAAGTATCAATATTTCTCTTTATATAAAAATCAATTACTGTCAGTTAGTCTCGTTAAAACCCAAAAACGACTAGATCGATTTTGATTTTTTTGTGTATATTTGAATGGATCCCTAGGTAATTTAGATTTACAATAGGACTCGGTAAGTGGCGCTGTTGTCGAGATCCAGAATTCACCCGTGCGAAGCCGGGCCGGATCGCTAGTGTTGATATAAATGAAGGGATCTTTAGATGCGTTGAATTAGAATCTTGACTGTAGACATTAGTATTTTATATTAATTTCAATTTGATATCTCTACACGTTCTTGTGAAAAAGGATCTCGACAAAGAGCTTGACTTAGCAGCTTAACGGCTCTGGGGCGCAGTAATTTAGCAATTAGCTACACCTCTAAGAGCCGCGGGTTCGAATCCCGCACGGAAAAAGTATTTGTGTGGCCTGCAAATAATTGTTCCGGGTTTGGATGTTTGTCCTTGTGAAATTCATGTATGTAAACTTCCACCACGATACCGGAGACAGTCCTAGTGTAGAGGTAGATAAAATAAGCCAGACGGACGGACGAACGTGCGGTAAACAATGTGCAGGATGATCACTTTGTTGTCTTACACCTATAGTTTTACACTAATTACTTATAGTGTCGCCTGAACTTATTATTCAAATTAGCTTATATATACACACACACTTATATATATATATATATATATATATATATATATATATATATATATATATATATATATATATATTATATTTATATTTGACGGCTCCGTGGCGCAGTGGCTTAGCAATGAGTCGTTGCGCTGGGGGCCGCGGGTTACCGTACCGAACGGAACAAGTATTTGTATGGCCTACAAATAATTGTTCCGGGTCTGGATGTTTGTCCTCATGCAATCTATAATGTTTGTAAACTGCTTCCACGATACTGGAGAAAATCCTAATGTATATATATATATATATATATATATATATATATATATATATATATACTCTTAACCTCCATCTAGCCCGAGGGTAAAGATGAAATCTAGAATGGAGGGAATTTCCCCAGAAGTAACCAAAGGTTGAAGAGGTCCAGGATATAGGCACTCGGAAAAACAGACGCCGGCAGGGCATTCCACTTCTTGGCTGTGCGCATTATAAAAGCTGACTTTAAATTATAATAATATACGAGTAAAGATGGCGCTTAGTGCGAATATTCGGAATGTCAACCAAGTGTAGATGGTTACCTGCAGCACGTCTGGTACTCCGCTAGGAGAATGGAGATGGCGGTATGAGATTATGAAGCTCATGGACACACTCTCCGAAGTACAATCTGTATTAATATCATTAATTGATTTATATTATCTTGTCAGAAACAAAGAAGGATTACTTATACCTTGCAGTGAGCCGTTTATTTTTTATTACTATACCATTTTAACTTTTAATAGTTAAAATGGCAGTTTAGTTTAATAGCAGAATTGAAAAGCTTTATAACAAAAACGTCGGTTGGAATACACACATCTGATTAAACTTATGAAGTTTTTGTTGTAGAAATCTTTTCTCATTGTTATAAATATAGTTAATTTTCTACTTAGGTAAATTAACATTAAATCGAACAGCTCACCTCAATATGGAACCTGTACTTACACATTGTTAGTTTAACTAAGCTGCGTGCCAATCGTGAGGCTCATTGGTCACCGTGTCATTATTTACACATATTAGCTCCAGATTTCAGGTCACCTCACTGTGTAGCCTCATTCTATCTCTCGGTCAATAAATATCAGATTAAAGTGCCGCTATTGTAGCCTTCACGTTCACGCACAAACTAGTACCGTGGCTTTCAATAACGGTTCGCACTATGCAGATTATCGTGGCGGCGATAACCGCGACGTGAAAGCGACAGGAGCGACACGATGCAATGAAGCGGGCGGATTGGGCATAAGGCGCCCAGTGCTCGATCACACCACTGGATTTGTATTGTATTCAGGCAATGCAGGCTTGCAAATGGAAAGCGCATCATATGTCATTAATATGCATTGATCTTAACACTGCTGGAGTTACAATACTCGGAATCCCGTACATGCTATTTGAGAGTTTATGAGAGAAGCTCTTATAAACTCTCAAATAATATACATCACAATAAAATACATCGTTGATTTAACATTTGGAATCCCGGTTTCAATAAAGCTAATTGTGATATCCTGTAGGTGAATTCCGACAGTGCATTTAGGAATCACGTTCAGTTGTTAACTAGTAATAGATTTTAGTAATGATAATAATAAAATTGTTATACCGTAAAGTATTGAATTTTATCAACAAATACAACAACAAATACAAATTATATACCTACCTAATTTGATTTCTTATTGTTTCGACTACAGACTGATAGAAATCCAGAAATATTATACCTACAATAGCTGGTTCCAGGTGCACTCCTGCAGAAGAAATATTTGTTACAATATCGTTTTAAATTTGGATCAGTTATATTGTTTAATTAGGAATGATAATACAATCATTGAAATTGAATGATCTATAACTTTCAAATAAATTGTTAAACCTTTGAAGCAATTCACGACACCAATCAACACGACGGAGTTTTTGGGCGTGTGTCAAATTATGAGGTATCCACCGGGCACAAAGCTTCCTGATCGCTAAATGTTCATGGAAGATTTTGTGCACTTGACTCATACCGATGCCTAAACTTGCTCGAATCTGCTGATAAGTCACTCTTTTGTCAGTCTGTATCATACGCCGCACAACACTGATGTTATCTTCAGTCGTTGCCGTAGAAGGCCGTCCCTCACGCAGATCATCGGTGAGATTACTGTAACCACGTTTAAACTCATTAAACCAGTTGTAAACAGTAGCACGAGATGGGGCTTCATCGTGAATGGCCAATCGAAGTCTATCATAACTTTCTTGTTGACTTAAATTACATCGAAAGTCATAAAAAAATAATGTACGAAAATTTTCTCGTGTTAAATTCATGCTGACGTGACACAGACAATTTTCAATTTGCCGCCAAATCGTAAACAAATGACAAATTAATAAAATACATACACAATAATATTGGCAAAGAGTTCCATTTTCAAAATTTGAACTTATTTTTTATTATATCGTTTACAAGTGGCCAGTTCTAAAATATTTCATTTTCGCTCTCGTAGCGCGTAAAATACGAACAAACAAACATTAATTTTTATATATTTAATTTTCGTATGTGTTACGTTTTGATTTTAAAGAGATTGGGGGTTTTTTGAGCTGTGCTATTTTGAAACTTTTTAACGTTTTATATTATATCCTCCATTATATTCATTGTTACGGCAAATAACTTAAAATAGTATGCGCAACATATATTGGTACTACTTTAAGTTATCACAGGTGCACTCTCTAGTCCCTCACTCTCATAGTCCGATGGAACGGTAAACCGACACGAGCGGAGAGATCAGACGCAGGAGCAACGGCTTTACGTGCTTTCCGAGGCACGGGGGTGAGACACCGCCAACTTCCTGACTCCGGGTAGCAGCCCAGGACCTCAGAATTAGCAACCGCATTTACAACCACTAGACCAACGAGACATCAGTATCTTCTACACATAAAAATCAATTGCTGTCCGTTTGTCTCGCTAAATCTCGAAAATGGCTCGACCGATTTTGATGAATTTATTGAAGTTTTAGTATGTTTATGACTGAGTCCCTGACTGAGGTGGTTTAGATTCACAGTTAGACCCAGCAGGTGTCGTTGTAGTCGAGATCCAGAAATCGCCTGCGCGAAGGCGGTGCGAATCACTATTATAGTATTTTTATTAAGAATCGATTGATTGAAGAATCAAAAAATCGATCGATTACTCTCAAAAGCGACTACTGATTGTATTTAAAACTAAATCACAAATTTTTGTAATATCGTATACTTACATATTATATTATAGCAAGAGGTTATAAGTATTAAGTTCTTAAGTATGTTTATATGTTGCAATGGATTTTACATTTCAATATTTCGGATCAAAGACCATTTTATTTATAAATTTACGAACATTTATGATGTATGTACACATAAACAAATATAAATTTATTAAGAAACAAGCACTGGCTAGTTAAAACAATTAATCGGCTCTAAAGAGTCAGTAATTTCTTCATGGGGAAATGTATACGCTTTTACAAATAATACCCAGAAAATGTCAGGAATTATCGATCAAAAAGATTAAAATTTTAATTAAGCAAAAATTATTCAATGAGGTTTATTCTACTACTAAAGAGTATAATATGATTAATAAGAACCGCTGGGAATGAGATAATCGCTACCATACTGTTTTCGTAGTTAATAGTAGAACATATTACTGTAATTAATGTTTAAACAAATAGTCCCGCTGGGCTTTTTGCTGGTTCTTCCCAGGACAGAGGTTTTATTTTCGAGCCAGTGATAAGAGCGTAATTGACTTTCAATAAGTATTAAAAGTATTCTTTTAAAAAATCTAAGTTGAATAAAAATGATTCTGTTCTATTATATTCTATCAAGATAACTCGTCTGGGATTGTTTCCGAAATATTTCTAGAATTGATCTTGGATTTATCGATACGATCCAGAAACGAAGCGTCAGTCGACGGTTTAACTGTTTAAAAATTAACCAAAGCTTTAGTGAAGTGGCTACACTTAACATCAGGTGGAGTGTAAGTTCGTTTGTCACTTAATTTTTATAAAAATGCAGCCTGTCAAAGAGAAGCGATCGAGAGCCGCAGTGATGATTTTGATCGCTAGTAGTTTCATGAAATAGCATAATTACCGAATGGTATACTATCAAATGCTGCTGTGAACAACATGTGGCCAAACACGGGGTTCCGCGGGTACTGCTTCACCATAACAACGCTCTCGCGCACTCAGCGCTACAAACTAGGGACTCCCTAGACATCAAACCCGTTGCACTTGTCGTTTATCCTCCTTACAACCATGGTTAGGCACCATGTGATTTCCTTTTATTACCTAAATAAGAAAATTGCAAATAGGTATACAGTTTATATCGTCGGAAGATGCGCTGTTAGCATCGAGCTGGCCGTAGAAGAGGTATCTAAGGCGGACTGGAAAAAGTATTTTAGAAATTGGTTCAGACGCAATCTTTGTAATATGCGTCTAACTACTGGTGAAGAGTTCATTGACATAATAAAAACTTAACCATAGAATTTTTTGTTTTACAAAACTTTATGAATGGCCCACTTAAATGACTTATTTATGATTATAGAATCTTCCAAAATATTTAAATGTTCAATGTAAGTGACGGATGTGACATTTAACATAGAACTTGTCATCGATGTCGAGTTAAACAATATTAAATGACGTTCATTTAAACCATTTGTATTCGAATAGTTTTGGAATAATTACGACACAAGTTTTAAGCAAAATAAAAATGATATTCTCGTATTTAAATAACTTTTGAATTTAAATTTATAACAAAATTTAGCTCTTATTTATATTTTTAATTACATTATATAGTATACGTAATTAAACATCCAAACAAGTGTCATATTTTGTCCTAAAAGTATTATTCCTTAATTTTATTGTTTCTGTTTTGTACATTTAAGTATTATATTAATAAGTTTTTTTTATACAAATGTCTATAAGTACAAACAAACATCTAGGCTGACTGACGGCAAGTTGATGTAATAGCCCATAACAATATCATCGATTAAGAATCAAAATGATGATGTGTTTTTACCCCTGATGAATAAGATTGAATTATTATTAGTAAAAAGGTTCCTCAAGTTTCTATGGTTAGTTAGCCATACGAAACACAGCCGCATTATGCTGCTATTATACCACGGTAGTAGTCTATAAGGGCGTGATCGCTCATTCGTGCTTAAGTCTGAATATAGTTGCAGCGTGGATCTACCGGGATATATTATATAGCTGCAGCTGTATTTATAGTATAGCTGTAGCACGAATGGGTCGGCTGGACCTGGGAAGGACCACGCTCTCACAGAATACCAGCGTAAAATAGCAGCTTAATGCTGCTGTGTTTCGTATGGTGAGTGTAGAGAACCGGAGACTCTTTTTACTGGAAAAGAGGCATTCCATCTTAGTCCTCACGGGTGACAACGCATCTGCATTTTGATTCGCAAGCGAGGAGAGATGTAGATGTCTATGGGCCTCAGCAACAACTTACCATCAGGTGGCTGTGTGCTCGTTTGTTACTCTATTTCTACAAAAAAAGTTATAATTATTTATCTATCACAAAGTTAGGTGTGTGTGAATATAATGATATTATTTGAAAGTTCAAAGTTGAGCATTGCTATGATTTGGCAGTCAAGTTTAATCTCAAGACGGGCACAAAAAGAGTGAATCTGTCTGAACGTGTCAAGGTAGTGTCATATTACATACATATACCAATAAACGTCAAAGTCCAAGTAGCACTCAATTAAGCAAGCAAGGCCACGTTGCTGTCAATCTTAGTTAGAATAATTCTTTATAGGTAGATTGCAAAGTGCTTTAGTGCTGATGCCCTAAAAAAACTGTGATGATGTTGACTTTATTTATGTATGTAGGTACCTGTCGTCTTATATAGATTTAAGACCATAGTTTCGAATGATGTCGTGCAAAAAAATTTTAATTTTACTTTAAGAAAATATAATGATATGTATGAGTTAGTAATGATAAGTGTGTTAGTTTCAAAAGTCTATTGCTAATTATAAGTTTTAGTTAATATTTTGTCCAGTTGAAGCTAGATTATTATTATTATTAAATAGCTGCAAATATCTCACTTAGTTATGGCAAAAAGACCGAACAAAACAAAAAAAAAAGAAAATGTATGTAACATATTTAAATACGTTTTTAGGTGGCAGAACCATGCTGCAGCTATACCTATTACTGGTATAGTTGTAGCACAAATGGGTCGGCTCAATCGGGGAAGGACCATGCTCTCACAGAATACCAACGTAAAATAGCAGCTTAACGCTGCTGTGTTTCGTATGGTGAATGTAGAGAACCGGAGACACTTTTTACTGGAAACGAGGCATTCCATCTTAGTCTTCACGGGTGACAACGCATCTGCATTTTGAGTCGTCATCGAGGATAGATGTAGATGTCTATGGGCCACAGCAACCACTTACAGTGAGATGGAATACACACGCTTGTTTGTCACTTTTATCCTATAACAAAAATACGGATTGGAGTCATTAAAATGATTTTGTTTTTCCGCAATAATTACGTATCAATTCATTTACAAAGGTCCAAAAAAGTTGATAAGTACCGCAAAGTCGCCATAAAATCACTCGCAGAAAACTAATGAAATTCAGAATTTAATTACGTTAGTTAATTATACTTTATTAAAATAAATAATATATAATACAAAAATTTAACGAAAAACCGACACAAGTTTTCGCATGTCGACTTCATCACACATAAAAACATCATTACGGACTTTAGTTTCATAAAAGTTGTAGATATACGAAAAAAAAGCATCTCGTTATGGTTACACCAGCACCACCCATAATACAGATAAAGCATCCATCAGCATAAATACATAACGCTGAGTATGTAGTAATTTAAGTAGACTGTAAGCATAGGATTAAGGATTGTAAAAGACAATGGTCAGAATAAATTCACATCTATCTCTGTGAACACGTAGTTTTTATTTAGTTTTAAGTATTAGTTTGTATTTAGTTTTGAAAAAGCTCTCGGCAGCTCCCGCAACTTGACTATCTTGAGAATTATTTTCATATATAATACTAGTAAAAAACTATAATAAACACATTTATACTTACATTTTAAATGCAGAACTCACAGTACTACCGACAAAACTTGTCACAATGCTTGTTTTTTTTTGTGTTTTTCAATGGTATCTGTTACCTGGCATAGACTTTTTACTAACCCATAAACGCGTTTTTTAATATAGAGCCGTCTAGTGTAACATTCATGAAGATTTTTGTAACTTTGCATAGATAAAAAGTCGTTGAAAGTGTAGAAGTCATCGAGGCCGCTCTAGTCGCCCTATCGTTCAACCGG